TCTCTGTCTCCGACCAGGAAGAAAGAGATCGAGCTGGGGTCCCCCACCCCAGACCTAGTCCCCTTGGCCACTCCAGTACCTGTCCAGATGCTCCAGTGGGTGTGGTCCGTGCAACAGGTGCAGGTGAGGTGGATATCTCGCTAGTATGTGCCTTTCATTTACCTCGGATTATCTTGAATTGTGTTTTAGAAAATGAAGTCTGGTTCTGCACAGTTGGCCGAGCTGTTAAGAGCACTTGCTCTTGCAGAGGACCCAGGTCTAGTTCCCAGCACCCACATGTCAGCTCACAACTGTCTGTCACCCCAATCCCAGGAGATCTGATACTTTCTTCTGCACTCCAAAGATACCAGGCATGTACTTAACACACATGCAAGCAAAACACTCATATACAAGAAATAAAATACATTTATTAAGAAAAAAACATTAAAAATTGGAGACAGATGGACAGAAATGCCCTTCCTCAAAAGGAATGCCTGTTCTTCCTTTTATTAAAAAGTATTTATTCATTTATTTTCATGTGTTTACGTGTATATGTGTGCGTCTGGGTACCAGGTGGGTTCAGGAGCCTGCAGAGGTCGGAAGAGGGCATCGGATCCTCTGGAACTGGAGTTATAGATGGTTGTGAGCCCCCATGTGGGTGCTGAGAATCGAACCCAGGTCCTCTCCAAGATCAGCAAATGCTCTTAACTGCTGAGCCATCTCTCCAGCCCTGGAGCTCTCATTTTTAAGAGCTAGAAAATCAATTATGAAGTATTCATGAGGAAGAAGCTTTCACCTTGAGAAAACAGCGTGGGGGAGGGAACAGCAAGGCACGGAAGTGTTACATGTAGAGCCTGTGGCTAGCGAGGTTAACCTGGAGAGTTAAGGAACTCAGCAACAAGCCGCACAGCAGAGCATTCCAGGAACGGGAAAACAGCCAGTGGGAAGACTCAGAGGCAGGTGTGAGTAACTTGAGGGAGACACATTGTGACCAATGCAGACTGCCGCAGACTGGGATAGGATCTGGGGTATATCTCAGCTGGCTCTTCTGATGGCCAGAGTGGGTTTTGGACAGGAAAAATAGATAGAGTATGAAACACACAGGAGGCCAGTGACATGACTCAAGCTGGGTGAGGAGCTTGCCTCCAAGCTTGCCAGCCTAAGTTTGATACTCGGAACCCACACACTGAAAGGACAGAACCGACTCTGCAAGTTGTCCAACCCTGACCTCCATGTTAGTGCCGTGGCATGCGCGCACCCACACCTTCTTCCAACAGGAGATAAATAAATGTAAAACGGTGAAAACAAAACCCATTTATGAGGCCATCAGGGAAATGTAAACACGGACCTGTTTCTCATGAGTGTCAAAGTGAATCATGTGATTTTGACTCTTCAAAAGTAAACTCCAGCTGGGCATGGTGACTCACGCTTGTAATTCCAGCATTCAGGAGGCTGAGGTAGGACACTCACTATAGGCAAATGCAGCCTGGACTACATGGTGAGTTCCAGCTTAGCCTGGGCTGTAGAGTGAGACCCTGTCTCAGAACAAACAAAACCAGGGGCTGGAGAGATGGCTCAGTGATTGCATGCTTACTGCTCTTGCAGAGGGCCAGAGTTCAATTCCAAGCATCCAAGTTGGTCCTTCACAAACTCTCAGCAACTTTAGCTTCAAGGGATCTGACAAACCCTCTGCTGGCCTCTGCTGGTACTGCACACATGTGGACACACACACACACACACACACACACACACACACACACACTGTCTCTCTCTCACACACACACACCAATAATGGTAGTAGTAATAAATACGAATCTAATACCATTAAATTATATACTTTTGGCTAAAACAGCTGATGGGTTTTGATTCTGAAGCCCACATGGTGAAGGAGAGATTGCATGCGTGCGTGCGTGCGTGCGTGCGTGCGTGTGTGTGTGTGTGACTAGGCTTTGACCTTAGGACCTCATGTTTGCAAGGCAAGCACTCTACCAGGTGAGCTGTGTCAGTGTTTCTATGCCGCTTACTAATGGAGCACTGTGTCAATGTCTCCAACTTAACACTCAGTGACCACATTCACTAATCTAGTAGGCTTTACCTTGGTGTCCAGTAATTCTTGTCTGTGGATGAAGCCACGAATGAGTTTGTCTTTTTGTTTTTGCTACTGAAATACTCGTAATGTCAACTTTTATGTTGACGTAGTATAAAGTACCTACTTAACATTGAGACAGTCTTGAGATTTAGCTTAGGCTACTTCAAACTCATGCTGGCTTCAAACCCTTGGTAATGACCCTGCCTGAGCCTCTTGGGTGCTGGGATTAGAAGCATACACCACCATATTTAGCTCCACAACTCTTAAAATACATTACTTTGAGGATTCAATTTCCTTGAATATAAATTTTGAATGCAACGCAAAGACAAGTCATTGCTTCTTTTCTTTTCTTTTTTGGACAGGGTTTCTGTGTGTAGCCCTGGCTGTCCTGGAACTCAGGCTGTAGACCAGGCTGGCTTCGAACTCACAGAGATCCACCTGCCTCAGCCTCCCCAGTGCTAGGACCAAAGGCCTGTGCTACCGCTGCAGGATCTTTTGGTTGTTGTTTCTAATCTAACATGATTTATTTATTGGATCTTTGGGAATTCCACATTTTGTACCCTTCCCTCTCCTGCTCCCTAAATGAAAATTAGGAAAGAAAAACCGAACCAAACCGACAAAACAAAAAGAACAAAAAGCAAATTAAAAAGAAAGAAACATGACAATAATGGCCCACGCCTTTAATCCCAGCACTCAGGAGGCAGAGGCAGGCAGATCTCCGTGAGTTCGAGGGCAGGCTGGTCTACAGAGTGAATTCCAGGACAGGACAGTCAGAGCTGTTACCCAGAGAAACCTTGTCTCAAAAAACAAACAAATGAATAAACGAAAAAGAGAGAAAAAGAAACCTCTTGGCGCCTCCATCTCTCCTGCCTCTCTAACACTTCTTCATTCATCCCTCTTCATCCCGGCGGCATTGGGAACAATGTGTCATCCGCTCACTTGCAAATGCTCATTGCAACACTGGTCTGGTTCATGGCCTCTGGTTTCTGATACACGGTCATCAATGGCTCCTCCCTGGAACTCCTCTGGGATAAGCCCATGTCATGGAGATCCTTCTGGTAGCAGTCCCTTCCCAGACTTAACAGGTCCTAGAAGGGGGTAGATGTTTGGTGGGCCAACCCAAGGACTAGCTGTGGGTCTGGGTGGAGGTTGAGTTGGTCAGACCAAGCCACTGCCCCCACCCCATCAGGCAAGGGGCAGCGCCAGCTCTCCTATGCCCATGCCATAAGGAGCAGCTTGGGCCCAGGTGACATCCTGGCTCCAGGTAACTCAGATCAGGACGGCTATGGTGGTGGCACAGTCCCTGGACACCAACAAGGCCAGGTTGTGGCCCCGACCTCAGGCTTCCTTATATGCTTCGGGACCACACACCCAGACATGGGCCTTGGCAGCAACTGTGTGTGGACATCAGGTGGCAGTGCGGGCTACTCAAAGTGACCCCAGTGGCAGCATGGCCCTTGGTTACTAACGTGGCCGCAGATCTTGGGCATCCACGTGGCCTTTGATGGTAACAGGAACCTTGGACAACAACATAGACCCTGGCTGCAGTAGAGCTATGGGGCCCAGACATGGATGGCCCTCAGCTCTGGCCATGATGCCACCACAGGATTGGGTAGCAGCACAGGCCACTTACATCTGCTTGGCCCCAGCATGTCCCTCGGTCACCAACATGGACTCAGGTGGCTGACCTGACCTCCGGCATCCACAAGGCCCTCAGTGAGAGCATGGGCCGCAGACTTCAACACAGTAGGATCACAGATCTGGAAATGATCCTTGGTAGCAGCTCCAGTCTGATGTTTTTGTTTTGTTTTTTAAGGACCATAAAGATGGCCCAAAGTGTAAAGGCACTTGGTGCCAAACCTGATGACCTGTGAGTGACCCCCGAGGCCCACACGGTAGGAGAGAAATGACTCTTGCGAGTTTGTCTCTGCCATCCATGGGGGAGCTGTTGACATGTGTGTCCATTCATATGCATCCAGAATAAAGCAAACAGATAAATACACAGGTCAGACATGGCAGAATCTTTAATCTCAGCACTCCAGAGGCAAAGGCAGAGACAGGCAGATCTCTGAGTTCCAGGCCAGCCTGGTCTATAGAGCAAGTTCTAGGACATGGCCAGGACTACACAGGGAGACCTTGTCCCAAAAGACAAAACAAAACAAAAAACCAGGCAAGGTGGAGGAAGGGATGAGAAGGATAAGGGCAGCCTTGGCTTTATAGAGCATTCAAGGTCAGCCTGGAACACATAAGATCCTGTCTTTCTTTGTTTGCTTGCTTTGTTTTGTTTTAGAAGCAGAGTTTCTCTGTTTAATAGGCTGTCTGGAACTTACTCTGTAGATCAGGCTGGCCTTGAACTCACAGAGATCCACCTGCCTCTGTCTCCCGAGTGCTGAGATTAAAGGTGTGCGCCACCACCACCTGAGTAGACTGTTTAAAGTAAGAAATTAAAAGACAGGCATGTTCCGTTATTTTCTACTATTTGCCTTGAAATAACTCTAAGAAAGTGCAATAAGAGGAATAGATACAATAAGTGGAAACTCAGTGGTTATTTATTTTTAATTCCGTCTGTGATGAAGATGGAACTCACGGCCCTGGACATGTTAAGCAGGTGTCTACCACTGAGCCACACTTCCAGAATGGGGAAAACAGAAGGGCAAAGGGGTTGGAGAGACAAGAGCAGAGTGCCTGTCTGGGTTCAGATTTGGAGAACTTCCAAAGGCTAGAGCTGTCATTGGCTGAAGACTTTCCGGGGACAGCAGACAGCCTCAGCCCTGCCCCTCCCCTCCCCTCCCCCTCAGCTTCACATCTGGTACTGATGTCAGCAGCAGGGTGGGCGGTGACCGTGTTTTTCAGCTCCCTCCCAGCCTCAGGGGAGGGGTGGACTCTGCAATCCCACCCCTTACTCACACAAGCAGAGGGGGGTCCAGTCCTTGGCCAGAAACAAACTTTTATTGCAAAAATGGGGACTTCCAAGTTACAAAGAGGTCAGGTATGGCCTCTGTCCTGTTACGCAGCGGTAGAACCCGTATGCTCATCTAGTTCTTCCAGGGGCCAGGCGATGGTTGGATGGAGGCTTTTTTTTTTTTTTTTAATTGTTGTTTTTGAGCAGTGCTGGGGAATGAACCCTAGGCTTTACAAATGCTAGACAAGTGCTCCCTACCTCTGAGCTACATTTGGATAACGCTGACGGGGACTTCAGCGATGCCAAGTAAAGTCAGAATGTATTTGGGAGCAGAGCCCTATTAAGCTGGAGGGAGGGCATTTCTCCTTGGGGTTGCTGGTGCTCGCTTGTACAAGGTCTGTGTGCACGATTGCAGCCCAGGGAACATTTATATTTGGGAGAATTTGTTGGAAGGAGTATGTTTGACGAACAAGGGCGTGGAGTTGGCCGGGAACAGTTTTGCCGTCATGGTGTATCTCAGTAGGAAGAAATTCGTTAGAGCCAAGACATTGTCACACATGGTCCAGCTGTGTGGATGACGGCCATACATGGAGGTACTCATGTGCCTGAAGGGTGGTGAGGTCATCCACGGACAGCGTTCTGGCTGTGACGTGACCCCAGCTGGGGCATGCTGTTTTCTATGGCGGGGACCCAGCCACAGCGGTGATAGACATGGAACACGGAGGAAGTAAAACATGGTTGGGCTGTTTGTGAGGCTGTGTCGGTGGTATCGGGACCAGGATTGTGAGCCCAGGTGGTTGTGTGGTGGATGGCTTGGTGGGGTATCTGGTAATATTCTTGTGAGTCCAGATGGCATATACTACATTTATGTAGTCTGAAAGCTATGCAGCCACCTTGGTGGTGCATACTTGTAATTCCAGCACTCGGCAATCTGAGGCAGGAGGATCACAAGCTTGAGACCTGCCTGTGCTACATAGCCAGACCCAGATTCAGACAGCCCTCTCCAAGAAAGCACATACATCAGTTGCCTTGTAGTTGCATAGGGGAGTGTGATTCCGGGTCGCAGCAGCTGCCTGGACATACGTGTGGTGTGACGTAGCTTCTAAGATACCTGGTTCACTCACCCCTGTGAAGCTGTCACCCCAGGTGGCTCCTGCCTTCCTTCACCTGGACTGGTCGCTGGTGGGCCAGACCTGCAGCTGGAAGTCTGGGGGGACGTTGAAAAGCCCACTTATGGCTGGCTGCAGGCTCAGGTCGCCTGGTGGGCACGGCGTGTCCAGAGAGAAGGCTTGCAGGATAGCGGTGAAGAAAAGCCAGAGCTCTGCCCGAGCCAGGCCTTCTCCCAGGCAGACTCGCTTACCTGGCAGAAGAGGGGGATTGAGTCAGCCGGGCTCACATCTGGGCCCACAGAATAGGGGCATCCAGCAGAGATCCTGGGGCACAGGAAAATGGTGCCTCCCCAGCTGGCACTGACACCCACTGGCTATAACCAGTTAGCACCCTCTGGTGATCCCTAACATCCAGTCCAGTAGATACCTAAGGAGAAGGGCAGGAAGGCTTCATGTTTCCTCAGGCGGCCATCAGTGTCCAGGAAGCGGCCCGGGCGGAACTCTCCTGGGTTCTGGAAAACCTTAGGGTCGTGTAGTACAGAGCCGATCAGAGGGAAGACCTCAGTACCCTGAGGGCACAAGATGAAAGTCACACACTTGGGCTTCCTGTATTGATACTTTTAATGTAACTTGATTAAAAATCAAATTTAAAAACATTTACTTGTATTTATTTTTTGTTTGTTTTTGTGAGACAGGGTTTCTCTGTCTAACAGCTCTGGCTGTCTTGGAACTCGCTCTATAGACCAGGCTGGCCTCAAACTCACAGAGATCCACCTGCCTCTGCTTCTTAAGAGCTGGGATGAAAGGCATGGGCTATAACAGGCTAGAGTATTATTATTATTATTATCTCATGTGTATGAGGGTTTGCTTGAATGTCTGTATATGACATGGGTGCAATGTCCACAGAGGCCAGAAGAAAGCATCAGATCTCCTGGAACTGGAGTTACAGTAGTGAGTCACCATGTGGATGCTGGGAACTGAACTCGTAACTGCTGAGCCATCTTTCCATCCCACCTACCTACCTACCTACCTACCTACCTAATCTATTGTGTGTGTGTGTGTGTGTGTGTGTGTGTGCGCCATCACTGCTGGGTTATATTTTTTAAAAAGTGAAAAAAAATCACAAAATAAAAAATGAAAATAAATAAATAAATACTTAGGGCTAGGTGTGGTGGTGCATGCCTTAATCCCAGCACTCAGGAGGCAGAGGCAGGTGAATCTCTGTGAGTTCAAGGTCAGCCTGGTCTACATGGAGAGACCCTGTCTCAAACAAACAAACAAAACCAAACAACCAAAACAAAACATGACGCCAACGTTAAGTAAACACTTCAGTGTCTCTGACTCTCCTTTCTCCCGTTTGCTTTTACTTTCTTTCAAGATAGGATCTCATATGTAGCCTAGGCTAGACTTCAACTTGTGGCAATCCTCCTGCCTCAATGCGTGCAACAGTTGCACACGATGCCTCCTCTCCTTTCCGCTTTCCGGAATCTCTGGAATAAGCCCAGGAAGGACCCAATTTAAGGACAAGGGAACGTGGATGTGGGGGTACATGCCTGTAATCGCAACACTGTGGAGAGTGAGAGAGGAAGATGGCAAGGTTGTAAGATCAAAGCCAGCCTGGCCTACTTCATAAGATCTTATTTCCAAAGAAAACGAGAAGTAAAAAGGGCGTATGCCTAGGGTGTAAGTCAGTGCAGGCTTTAACCCCTACTATCACATGGGGTGGGGGAGGTAAAAAAGATGGGGCAACTAAGGCCTGGAGAGCTTAAACAGTAGCCAAAGGAAACCCCAGGGTCCGCCTGATAGAGCATGTTATTTTTACACTGTTTTGAAATTAAGGGAGTATGTTGTGATCCCGAGATTAAGCTGTGGCTGTCCAAGCCACCTCTCTGGGGAACGTCTCAGAGAGGCGAAGGCAAGGCTGTGTGTGGGAGGGTTGTCCATGAAGGCCACAGCCAGGCAGGGCTGCAGCCTCTCAGGCCAGACCAGAGCCTGTGCATCCTGGGGGTTGTTATGTTATAAGGCTCTTTTTTTTTTTTTTTTTTTTTTTTTTTTTTTTTTTTTTTTTTTGAGACAGGGTTCTCTGTAGCTTTGCAGCCTGTCCTAGAACTCTCCCTCTGTAAGACCAGGCTGGCCTCAAACTCAGAGATCTGCCTGCCTCTGGCTCCCAAGTCCTGGGATTAAAAAGTGTGTACCATCACTGCCCAGAGGCTGGGACTGTTATGTTAAAGTAGTGGTTCTCAACCTTCCTGATGCTGCGACCCCTAATACAGTTCCTAATGTGTTGATCCCTCACCGTAAAATTCTTTTGTTGCTACTTTGTAACTGTAAGTTGTTGTAACTGCTGTTGTGAATTGTAATGTAAATACCTGATTGCTGCCCCTGGGAAAGGGTTGTTCCTACTCCCAGGTGGAGAACCACCGCCTTAGTGACTGAAGGCAGATGGGGGAGACACAGGGGAGAGGCAAGGCATTCTTTGCTAAGTGGTCTGGCCCATGGGTTGTATGAGCTGGAAGGCGAAGGAGCTCCACGAAAAGCACCATGGGGCTTTGTTAAATAACAGAAAGGCAGGTAGAAGTGGTTAAAGTTTAGGTCCTGGGTTCAAATCCTGTCTTCCCACTTGAGGGCTGGGTGCATTCATGCTGATCTTAGTTTTTCCATCCGTACAATGGGTGTGATAATTACACAGGGTTCTTTTGGAGATCAAAGAAAATAATACTAGAAGAAAGCATCCAGAACAACAGATGGTACAATGTAAAGGATATGTTTGATTCATGTTATTGTGACATTGTGGTTGCTTTTCGTGTGCACGCAGGACACCCACCCACCACTAAGAACTGGGTAGATGTTTTGCAAGCATTATCTTTCAAGTCCAAATTGGATGTTATTATTATTCCCAATTTATAACAGGGGTATCTATTGAGGCTCAGTGGATGAAGCAATTTGTTCAAGTTCCAGCTAAGAAAACAGCAGGGCTAAAAACATAAGGATTTGATTTTAGAAGGAGCCACTGCCAGTGTAGTCTCAGGACTGAGGGTATATCGCCCCCTGGTGTTTGTATGTCTGAAGTGTTTTTCAATGGAGGCCAGAGAGAAAGGGGTGGTTTCGGGGAGGATCTAGACAGACAGAGAAATCAGGGCAGAGATAACTGCTCTGGCTGTGCCACGCACCCACCTGGGGCAGAGTATATCCACGGAAGCAAGTGGTCCTCGTGAGGGTGTGGGGCATTCCCATGGGCACCAGTGCCAGCAGCCGCTGTGCCTCGTGTAAAACTGCATCCGTGTATGGGAGGCGAGCACGGTCGCTCAGACTCGGAGCCCTGCCGGGACCCAGCTCCTGGATCAGCTCCTCCCGAACACGCTCTGCATGCAAAAGGAGGGTTGCAGGTCAAGGGTGGGGTGGACCCTGGGATCCTCCTCCTGGGAGCCTCATCTTGTGCAGCAGTGGTTTGGGGGTGAGGTTGGCAGCAGGCGAGGAGCAGCTAGGCCTGGGATCTCGTTCATCCCATTTGCAGGGTGTGTATCCATTTTATCTTAACTCCAGTAACAACGAATGGTGGTCACCGTTTTGGGTTTTTGAGACAGGCTCTCTCAATGTTGGCCTGGCTGTCCTGGGAACTCATTCTGTATACCAGGCTAGCCTTGAACTCACAGAGATCCTCCTGCCTCTGGGGGATTAAAGGCATGCGCCACCACACCCAGCATGGTGGGCATCCTTACACATGTCCATTTCCTAGATGAGGAAACTGAGGCCCACGGACCCAAGCCATTCACTAAAAGTCATAGCTGAATCCAGTCATGGCACTAGATCTCCGGGTGCTGCCGCATAGGGTCAAGCTATTTCACTAGCCTTCAGGCATTCAGGTAGAGTTCCTCCAGGTGCAGGCATGGGTGGGTGGTTCATCCCCAGCCTGGCCTGTTAGCCATCTGCCCTTCCTTACTGCTAAAAGTTCAGGTCCGGCCTCTGCTAGGATCGTGAACCTCACCTCTTTTTCATTTATTTTGTTTTGCTTTGGTTTGCTTTGAGATATGGTCTCACACTGTAGTCTAGGCTTGAGTGCAACCAAGGCTGGGCCTCAAACTCACCGTACTCTTACCTCACAGTTTACTAAGTGCTGGGATTACAGCTGTGCACCTGCCACACATGGATGATGACAACTCCAACTGCGTGTGTGTGTGTGTGTGTGTGTGTGTGTGTGTGTGTGAGAGAGAGAGAGAGAGAGAGAGAGAGAGAGAGAGAGAGAGAGAGAGAGAGAGACGACCTGGGAATGATACCCAGAACCTCATGGATGCTAGGCAACCACTCTACCCTTGAGCCACGCCCCCTCCTCACCAGTGGATTGAAGCCAGGGCTCTCAAGCCTCCCCTCCCACCCTCCTCTGAGAGTCTAGGCAAGAGCTCTGGCCCTGAGCTACAGTCTCTTACAGTTCATCCTGCCCTGGCAGCTGGATGCTTTTCTAAAATGCAGATTTAAGTGGAGTGTATTGATTCCCACCTAAAAACGCAGTTGAGCCAGGATGCTGAGTTAGAGGCCAGCCTAGGCTGTACAGTGAATAGCAGGCCAATTTGGGATACAGAGTAAGACCCTGTCTCAAATAAAAGTAAATAAATCGATAACTGTAAACATACTTATGTCTTCCCTGCTCAAGGTCCTTCTGTGGCTCCCCATGCCTGGGGTCAAGGCCACACGATAAAGGTGACAAGGTGTCACCAACAGACATGTCGTGTCTCGCCTCTCGCTATGCCTCGGACTGTGGCGTGAAGCCCCCTCACCACTTGGGGAACCCTAAACTCCACGCCCATTTTCATCTCCCTGCACATTCTGTCCTCTGGAACCATCGCTTGGGTTCCCGGGGCCTGGCTGTTGGGAATGGTTTCTTACGTTGCACTTGAGGGTATCTTATCAGGAGCAGGAGGGCATAGTGGATGGTGGCACCAACTGTCATCGTTCCAGCAAACAGCAGGTACGTGGCCGTCATCAGCATGTTCCTCTCTGTGAATTCTGTGCCCAGGTCTTGTTTCTCCTGAGCAATAAAGGAAACGTTTGTGACAAGTTGAGAAATGAGCAACTGTTATCCGAGTGAGGTAGAGATTCGAGATTTAAAAAAAAAAAAAAAATCTTTCTTTTTTTAATTTCATGTGTGGGCTTGTGTGTGCCGTGTCATGCATGCGGAGGTCAGGGGACAACTTGCAGGAGTTGGTTCTGTCTGTCCATTGTGTGGGTCCTGGGGGCTCAAACACAGGGAGTCAGGCTTGGTGTCAAACACCTTTGCCCACTGAGACATTACCATTGTCCATCTTCCCCCCCCTCCCCGCTTTCAAACAGGGTCACATGTAGCCCAGGCTGGCCTTAAACTTGCTGTTTAGGCAGATGACCTTCGGCCTGTGCCTCCCAGGTGCTGGGATGACAGTTCGTGTGGTACTAGGGATGGAGCACAGGGCTGCCTGCATTGCTAGGCAGAACTCTGTAACTGAGTTATGATGTGAGATGCTCTTCTGTATGCTGTGAATATGTTTTATTAGCATTGGTTAATAAAGAAGCCGATTTTGACAATAGCCAGGCAGAATAGAGTCAGGTGGGAAATCCAAGCAGAGATACAGGAGAAAGACGGCAGAGTCTGGGAGATGCCATGTAGGCACCAGAACAGTAAGATGCCAGAACATTACTGGTAAGACACCACCACATGGTGATATACAGATTAGTAGAAATGGGTTAATTTAATTGTGAGAGCCAGTTAGTAATATGCCTGAGCCATTGGTCAAACAATTATAATTACTATTAAGCCTCAGAGTGGTTATTTGGGAACTGGTAGGTGGGAGGGAAACTTCTAGCTACAAAGTTACATCTCCTACACAGCTGATCCCATCCCTAACTCAGCCCAGGGACAAGGACTCAGCAGATGCTAAGTAAATGGACTATGAGCCAGGCCAGTAGCCATACTCAAGAGGGACTCTTTCCTCTCCCAATTTCCACACCTGTGCTATCTTCAGCAGGAAGGCATCAACGAGGTCACGTGCAGGACCTGAAGTCTGGACACTTCCCTGGTGTCGCTGTACATGCTGGACAACGAAGGCAGCCAGGGTGCCTAAGTGGCGCTGGAGCTGCTTGTGTGGGCCTGGCAAGAGCTGCAGTAGCCAGGAGAACATCTCGTAGGCCTGTGGGTACAGGAAGGCAGTTTGTTCTCAGCGTGCTCGACAGCGAGTACTGAGGCTGGGGAAGGCTTCCACCATTTACCTGGCCCCACGGGGAGCTGATCCCCAGCAAGGTACCACTTGCTGCCTGGATCACGGCCTGGAACTCTTCATCTTCATAGGGCAAACGGATGCCAAAGACGAGGGAACAGACGACATTAGATGTGGCTTGGGCCAGCAGCATGGAAGGGTTGAATGGACGTCCTGGGAGGCATGGACGGCAGGGGAAGAGAGAGAGACAGAAGAATGGATTAGATGAAGAAACGAGGCAGAAAGAGTTAGATGGAGGTGTGGTGGCCCACACCTGTGACCTTGGCCCTTGAAAAGTTGAGGCAGGAGGATTGTTAAGAGTTCAAGGACGGTCACGGCTACAGAGTGAGACTGTGTCTCAGAAAACAAAAACAGAAGAGCAGGATGTCCAACTCTGGGTCATAGCATTTGTGGTGTTGACCAGCCGGGAGCGAATTAGGGATGCATGATGTTGAGAAAAGACAACAAGATTTTTGTCAGAAGTGTGCCCGCTGTCACACTGCGGGAAAGAGAGGCAAGCATAAGACCGGACCAAATCTCCAAGTCCTGTTTGGACAGAAGGCAGGTCAGGCGACTGGATTCTCTTACACAGATACCACACAAGCAAAGGTACCACCTGGGGAGGGGTTACCTGAGGGAGCATTTGGAGAATTACAAAAAGTACACCCCTCAAACAAAAACGATCTTCACTGGAATTCAGAAGAAGGGAGAAAGGGCTGACATACTAGTTCATCTTAAGAGGGTCACTAACGAGTAACACCACTGCCTTACTAATTACATAACACATGTCTCGTGGCTTTTAATATGTACCGTGATTTAACTCAGACCCCAACAATCAGATCGTGAATGGCTGACAATGTTTTTTGTTGGGCAGTCCATGATCTGTTTTTTACAGTAACAATTTCAGTTGCATAAATACTATCATTGCTCTGCCTTCCTCAAGATGAGGTTGGACTTAATTGGTAACGCTCTACTTTCCACAAAGATGGGGGTGTCACCCCAAACCTACTAGTGGCTTTGCACTTTGATGTATGTAAATGGGCATAGGCATATGTCTAAACACCGGGAAAATTCTATCACTGTTGCAGACATGAGGAGACTCACCCGTGTTTCAGATTGTGTTCACTGGCCTGTGACAGGCAATGGCTAAATGTCAGGAAGCAACTGTCTATTCTTGACAATGCTGATTTAATTAGAATTCTCTATGTTGAGCGTATTGCCTTTTACTGCTGAGCAGCACTTACTGTGGCTTATAGATATTATCAAATAAAGAGTATTAACACATACACACACCACAAAACAACAAAAGGAGCCAGGTGTGGTAGCTCACACCTGTAATCCCAGCAGCTGGAGGCTGAGGTAGAAGAATTAATCATTAGTTTCAGGCCAGCCTGGCCCGACTAGTGAAATTCCTCCCTCATAAACAAGACAAAGTAGGGAGGGGGTAAAGCCCAGAGAAGGGACAGAGAGAGCTGTGTGGCACCCCAGGTGTGACCCAGTGGAGGTGAGCAGAGACACCCCCCCCCCAGATTCACCACCACCCGGGGAACAATGGAGATGGTTCCTCTTCCTCTTGGCTGGAAGTGGTTGTTGGCCCCTCCCTGCTGACCTTCTGTCTTCTGGAAGGCCTCCACCAAATTCTGCACCTCTGCTTGGATCAGCTCCTCGCCTTCTCGCTTGCCCATGCCCAGGTCCCGTAGAGCGAGCAGGGTGAACTTCCTCAGCTGCTTCCACCGCTCCCCATTGGCAAAGAAAACCCCTGCACAGAAGGCTAGATTCAAGAAGGGACTGGAGATGCTCCCCGGGGCCCTGTCCTGAATCTGTATCAGCCTGGCAGATGTGTGTGTGTGTGTGTGTGTGTGTGTGGTGTGTGTTTGTGTGTGGTGTGTTTGTGTATGTATGTGTTTGTGTGTATGTGTGGTATGCTTATTATGTGCGTGTGTGTTTGAGTGTATGTGTGTTGGTGTGTGGTGTGCTTGTGTGTATGTGTCTGTAGTATGTTTGTGTATATGTATGTGTGTAATGTGTTTGTGTATGTGGTGTGCATTTGTGTGTGTGTATGTGTGTGGTGTTTGTGTGTGTGGTGTAAGTTTGTATATATGTGTGGCGTGTGATGTGTTTGTGTATGTATGTGTTTGTGTGTATGTGTGGTATGTTTATTATATGTGTGGTGTGTTGTATGTGTGTGTGCAATGAGGACTCAGTAGGTACTCCATAAGTGCATAATTGAGTTAGCTTTTCATCCTTTGATCTTGAATGTGTGACAAACCCTCCCTCGTCACCTTTCTATGTCCCTGTCCCATTCCAGCAGAGGAGGCCATGGTGAGAATATGAACAGAAAGCCAGGTTGCTGAAATAATTACATTGTCTTCTCTTTTACCATGGTGCTTGCTCTGCACAGATCTCCCTTCTGAGCTCAGTGCTGTGATGCCTGTTGAAGGCTGGCTTGTAGTGGCAGTTGGAAGCGGTCCTTGGCCCCCTCTCATGTCTGAAACTAGCTTGTAGACCTTCCCTCTCCCTTCCTCAGCCCCACCATCCACCCACTGAACAGAGCCCTGAGACCCTCAGGCTCTAGTCTCTTCCAAATACCATCTCTCCCCATCCCTAGGCCTTGCCCTGGTCCGGCTCGTCTCTTCCCTGGGCTTCCATCCTTTATTTCTCCTAACTTTGCAGTCTTTCCCTGTTGAAAACCAGAAGCCCAGCTGTTCTGCTGTGACTCACAGGCCTGCCAGGTGACCAGAGTCATAATGACTTTCAGCTTTATTAATCATCTACAACTTCTCTCATTTCCTCAAAGGCATCATGATTCCCCACCCCGACCTGGGCCCTTGCTGTTTCCTCTGCCTGTGTCATGATCATGTTCCTTCATCATTTTAGGAGTTGTTGGGCATGAACCTAGGGCATTGTACATGTTAAATTCACTACTAATAAGTCATGCCCCACCCAGCCCCTCACTGGGGGATTCTAGGCAGGTGTTCTACCACTGAGCCACACCCCAGCCCCTCACTGGGTGATTCAAGGCAGGGGCTCTACCACTGAGCCACGCCCCAGCCCCTCACTGGGGGATTCTAGGCAGGGGCTCTACCACTGAGCCACACACCAGCCCCTCACTGGGGGATTCTAGGCAGGGGCTCTACCACTGAGCCACACCCCAGCCCCTCACTGGGAGATTCTAGGCAGGGGCTCTACCACTGAGCCACACCCCAGCCCCTCACTGGGAGATTCTAGGCAGGGGCTCTACCACTGAGCCACACCCCAGCCCCTCACTGTATAGCTAAGTGAATCCCTGTCTCAAGCAAATTAAAAAAAATTTACTTAACTTTATTTTTTATTTCTGTGTATGTTTTTGTATGTTCATGTGTGTGCAAGTGCCTGGAAAAGCCATAAGTGGATGTTGGAACCCCTGAAATTGGAACACAGGCTATTGCCAGCTACCCATATGAGTACTGGGAACAAAACTCTCTAAGAACAGCAAGGATGCTGGGCGGTGGTGGCGTACACCTTTAGTCCCAGCTCTTGGGAGGCAGAGGCAGGTGGATCTCTGTGAGTTCGAGGCCAGCCTGGTCTACAGGTAGTTTCAGGACAGCCAGGACTGTTATATAGAAAAGCCTTGTCTCAGAAAACAAAAAACAAAAACAAAACAACAACAAAAAGCAGCAAGTTTTCTTAGCTGCTAGGCCTTCCCTCTAGCCCCTATCCCTTTATTTTTCATTGTTTATGGTTTTCTCTTGAGAGGGCCTTGCTATGTAGAGAGGGCTGGCCTGGACTCCTAGCAATCCTCCTGACTCAGCCTGTTGAGTGCTTGGATTAAAGGCTGGGGCAATGCTTCGCCACCCTTTGTGTTTCAGCCTAGAGAAGCCTGCTTCTGCCTTGACTCGCTCCAGTTCAGAGCACCCCTCCCCCTGCGGCCATCAAAGCTGTACTTGTCATTTTAGAGCTCCATCTCCTCACTGTGTTGTTTTTAGTCACAGGCCTCTCACAGTGAGAAGACCCCGCATCCCCTTGGCCACCCTTCTGTTCTCAGTACCTAGTACAGGGCCAGGCACAGGGAGCCTGTGGGCTGAAGGAGTGTGTCCCTCCCCCTCCTCTGTGTGGTGTGTGAGCACATGCATGCCCTGCCTGGGACACAACTTCCTCTCTCTTCAGCTTGGGCATCTTCTCTTCTTGGGTATCCCTCAGCAAACAAGCTGTGTCAGGGTCCGCCTATGGATTCCTAGAATCCTAGATTTCCTCCCATGCTAGCTTGCCCCTCCCATCCTGGTCAATTCCTCCATGCGGTTACTATCTGATGACAGGTCTGTCTGGGTGCTCTAGGGGAAGTAGATAGCACTGTCTTAGTCACCACCATGATGCCAGGCCTTTCTGTGCAGCTAGAGATCAAACTCGGGGCTTCCCACATTTTACACGTTTTTGTTTGTTTGTTTGTTTGTTTTTCGAGACAGGGTTTCTCTGTGGCTTTTGAGGTTGTCCTGGAACTAGCTCTTGTAGACCAGGCTGGTATTGAACTCACAGAGATCCACCTGCCTCTGCCTCCCAAGTGCTGGGACTAAAGGTGTGCACCAACACCGCCCAGCTACATGCTTTCTGTCTTAACATGAAGGATTGATTATTTCTGTGTTTTGGGACCCTCACCCTCCTCTCTCTCTTTTGGCTCAGGCATGTAATTTGTGGTCTTATACAAGCTAGGTGGAGGACATGTTCCCCCCCCTCAAAAAAAAAGCCCTTCATTGTTGATTTCTAGACAAGCACTGCTGAGCCCCTCTGTCAGCCCCTCACTGGGGGGATTCTAGGCAGGGGCATTACCACTGAGCCACACCCCCATCCCCTCACTGGGGGATTCTAGGCAAGCTTCACTGAAGAAGGCCTGCAGCCATCACTGATGGGTTCTGTGCATGTCCTACCACTGAACTATGAGTCGTTAGTCTTGGTTGTTTTCAAGACAAGGTCAAACTGTTTTGTACTATGTAGTTCAAGCTGGCCTTGAACTCACTATGCAGCCCAGGTTGGCCTGTCTATCACTTCACAGTCCCCAGGGTAGTAATTATCACTATAGGTTGACAATCAGTAAGTAAACACTCACTTGTCACCAACCCATTTCCCACTTGATTCTTATCACAACCCTAAATGAGAAGGGAAGAGAGGCCATCAGTCATCAGCAGCCCTTATAAGCCCTCATGACTCTACTCACCATGACCATCGAAAGTCTTGTCCAGCGTTGCCAACGTTCCACGCCCACTGAATTCCTCAGCCTGGCCTCCCAAGGCCTCTCTCACAGCATCATGCCCAACGAGGACCACCACGCGGCGCCAGGGGCCCAGATGTACCGTGAACACAGGCCCATACCTCTTGCTTAGCTGGGGGCAAAAAGGGAGAAGAGAGTGACTTCCCAGGAGCTGCCAGGAGCTGCAGACAGGCTGTATTAGTTCCAAACCGGGCAAGTTGTCTCCGGGCAAGTCATAGGGTCCGGCTTTTGCCCCCTATACCAGGAACTGGTTCTCTCCCCATCCCAAGCAAAAGCATCCCTTTGGGAAGCTGTTCTCTTTTTTTGCACGGGAGTGTAGTGTGGGTGCTTCTTAAACACACCCTTTTGCCTTTCCTCACACTTCCAGGTTCTAACCTCTGATCTCCGGACCATCCACAACCAGCTTTGGTTTCCCATAATGCCCCTTCCCTTCTCTCCCCCGCAACCCCCCCCATCCCAGCTATTCATTTCAACCTCTGCTAAACCCTTAAACCCTAGAGCAGTTTCGGTGGAACATGTGTCCCATCTCTCCCTTAGACGCCCACCCCCTTTTTCTGTCCTTAAAAGTCCCTCAGAATATTTTTGAATGGAATTCTTCTTCCCCCGTTACCCCAGGCAGGTTGGGGCTGCCTCCCATCCTCCCACCCGGGAGCTCGGTGGAACTCCGAGCTCCCTCCCAGCTGAGCTACACCCATCCTCCCACTTCGGGAGTCGCTGAGGCAGATTCCTTTAGCCCAGGATGCTCTCAGCTCATCCTCCTCCAGCCTCCGCAGGCTTCCAGATACTTCCCTCCCAACAGGGGTACTGGGGACAAGCTTGCCCACTAACAATATTCTTGCCTTAGACAGTACCTGCTTTGTAGTTTTGGTCGCAGCTCGATACCTTCCCAGCATTCTGTGGATCCCTACGACCTGGGACCCCTGCCCCTCTGGTCCTGCTCTTATTTCCGTCTAGACCTCTGTGAGTTGTGTCCCTCCCAGCTCTAGCCCCCTTCCCAGGAAATTCCTTCACTTTCTTAGTCCAGGACTACCTGCGCAGCCCCTCCAGGGATCCTTTTCTCTAGGGTCCCGCCTCCTGGGCACCGTCCCTTGCTCAGCCCAGGTCAACCTGTTCGTGCCCCAGGCTCAAGGCATTCATAATCCCTTTGCCCCAAGGACCCCTGCCTCTGTCCCCTTCCTAAAATAGCCCAAGACTCTTGCAGAGCCCAGGCACTCAAGGGATTGTCCACACCCCCCACCCCCGCTGGTTAGGGTGTCCCCGCATCCCCTTACCCGCAAGAGCCCGGAGTACAGCGCCCCGGGACGCAGCTGCAGGAGGTTCCCCAGCAGTGGCAGCGGGGCGGGCCCCGGGGGCAGATGGCTTCGGGCCGGGGTCCTGGGCAGGGCCAGCGCCAGCAGCAACAGCAGCAGCAGCGCCAGCAGCAGTGCCCAGGTGCTGGTTGCCTCCATCTCTGCAGGTCGGCTCGATCTCCACCTCCTAGAAGCTCCCTGCCGCCCGGCCAGTTAGGGGCGGGAACGGGGCGGCTCCCTCTTCAACGAAATCAGGCGGAGGGGGGCGGGGCTGCCTCCTGCAAGGCGTCGCTCCCCGCACCCGAATTTCTCCGTCTCCGGCCCGCAGACACTAAAAGGTCCCACAGCAACGCACGAACAGATCTCCCAGGTCACCCAGGTTTTCCTGGGGTTCAGAGGGCGTAGGAGGCAGTGAGTTGGGCTCCAGGTGGGGCGTAGTAAGCAAACAAGAGGAACCTGGGAGCAGGAGACTTTGGCTGGCTGCAGCGGCCACACCTCGCGGGGCGGTGACCCTGCGTGGCTCTCCCTGGCTCCTGTCTCTGTCCGCTTATCTTGATGTGCGTGCTTGCGTGCATGTTCCGTGTCTTGGAGGCAGTTTCCTCCTGCATCCTACCTGCACCAACTAGGAGGGACTTGACATTCTGTTGTCCCTAGATTACAAGGCTCTGTGACATAGCTATCCGACCTAGGTCAGCCTGCATTGCTTGAATCGTTCTTTTGTTTTGAAACGGGGTCGCAGGTAGCACGACTGCCCTGGAACTCAGGGTGTAACTGAGGATGACCTTGAATTTCTTAATCCTTCTGATTCCAGTGCCCAATGGTGGGATTAAAGGCTTGCGTCTTCTCCTCCTCCTTCTCTTGCTCCTCCTCCTCCTCCTTATTCCATTAGTTTTTGAGTGTGGATTTTGATGAGCTGATGAGTTTCATTAGGGTTGCTTACAGGATCTTAGTTGAGAGAGAGATCGTTTACAGGAGCATTAAACTCCCTATTCGGAGGCCACATCATTGAAGAGAATCATTCCCTTTTCCAGGGACCATCATTGCCTCAGGGAGGTTTGGGGGGGGGGTCCCCTAAACCCTCTCTCCTTATAGATTCACTTTGAGCAGTGGCTCACAAACTTCCTAATGCTTCGACCCTTTAATACAGTTCCTCATGGTGTGGTGACCCCCAACCATAAAATTATTCTGTTGCTACTTCATAACAGTAATATTGCTACTGTTACGAATCACAATGTAAATATGTGCAATGCGACCACAAAGGAGTCACAACTCACAGGTTGAGAACCACCAATTTAGAGCTATCTTGCATACCGTCAACGGATTTCTTGAATCCACTGCCCTTTGCTGTGCCTGCAATAGAGCTCCTTGCCAGAATTTAACAGCTGTGTATTTGCATTCGATCTGAAAGGGCTTTTACTAGGGTTTTTGCAGTCGCAGCGATCCATCCAAGGTCTTGTGTGAGCTTGGCAAGTGCTCTACCACTGAGCTACAGCCCCAGCCCCTCTCATGTTAGAGAGCTCTCACTGTAAACAAGACTTTGCTGTCCTTTTGAGGACGCAAAGCAATCGAGAGAAAGGTCGAGCTCTTCCTAGCCACATGCAAATGAGGGTGGGCTCAGAGAATCCCAAAGGGCAAAGGCCTGAGCGGGCTAAGGCAATATCAGATGACAGACAGCTGCTGGTGTGGTTCGGTGTGGTTCAATGCAGGATCCCTAGCATTTGCTGCCCTGCCTGACACATGCAGCTGATAAATATTTGCCATACCCAAGATTGAGTAGGAGATGGGACCTGTGAGGACTCTAAGGGGTGGCGGTGGCTCTGGTAGGGCAAGACTTTCCGTTTTAGAAGAAATACTGTGTCTTGTTTTTGTGCTAGGAAAGCAGTATGAACTGATGTTCCCCAAAGAAGCTGATGGCTGAACTGCAACTTCAGATTTCCAAGAGACAGAATGTTGCATGTTGTGAGTCAGACTGACACGGGGCTATCTTTAGTTGCCTTTAACAGCCGTTTACTAGCGCTCGATTTACTAGTGCCTATTAGGTGCAACTTTTGTAATAATACTTAAACTTAGCAGACCACAGGCTCCCACCAACCCCAGAGCTTAGGATATTGGAAGATAGCATCTGAAGTCTATAAAACTCAACCAAATGCAGTGATTAATGGCTTTCTTTTGTTTTGTGACTATAAAAAGTTTGTGTCACCTCCTCCACAGTGGAGCATGCCATTAGGGACAGCCTGAATCCCTCTTTCCAGCCATGGGTACTCACAGTTGGCGCAGAGGAAATATCTCTTATTCCCTGTGGACCAAGAACTATGATTTGGGACCTCAGAGATAACCAATTTTCACCTGAGGAGTCATCTGGATTGGCACCAGTTACCAGCACCAGCCACCACCATCCATGATGCCTCTCTGAGTGGATAATGGTCAATCGTTCTAGGAGCCTGCATCTCCTGCCTCCTGGCCATTTGTTTTGGTTGACAACCTGTTGGTTTGTCCTAAGCTGATTGTTATGTCGGACATCCTATTATTGCTTCAAAACATTCTTTCAGGACATTCGTTGCTAGCATTGAGCCTTTCTTCTCCGGCCACTCCTCCAACAACATCTAACTTTGTTTTCCCATTTCTTGTTCATCTTCATTGCAACCTTGGCACATTTAGTTTAGAAATTCTGCGGGCTGGTTGCAAAGATGCTGACGGTAAGAGGCCCTGAGTTCCTTCTAACCTAGCAGGTGGAGGTATCAGAAGAAACTTCCTGGGACATGTGGTGGCCTTCTGAGGCCCCCTACAAAAACATACCTTTGGGCTGGCAAAATGGCTCAGCAGGTAAAGGCTCTTGCTGCCAAGCCTGATGACTAGAGTTCAATCCCAGGGACCCACACGGTGGAAGAGGGAACTGACTCCTACAATTTATCCTTTGACCTCTACACAATGGCATGGCATGGCACAGCATGTGTATGTTCTATCCTCCAATATAAATAAATGTTAAAAAAAATTTAAAAACTAAACAAAAGAATACCTTGTCCCTGGACAGGAAGTCCCTTTCTCATCTCACCTGGAAAGGCACACGTAAGGGGTGATCACACAGTGCCTGGAGTCCCCTCACATTTCCATAAATATACAGCACGAACATCAAACCCTATGGGAGGAACTGACCCTGGGGTGAAACCTAAGTGAAGTACTCCCATCAGCTACAAATAAGTCCGAAGCATAACCCTCCAGGTAGCACAGAAGGTTGTAATTTTCAGGAGAGAAGGTCATCAAGATGGGACACAGGAATACAAGGACAACACGTCTGCCAGCAATACAGCCCTTGGGAAGCGAGAAGACCCGAGTTCAAGGAGACTCTTGAGGAGTGCATGCAGGGATAGTCTGGGGACTGCTTGAGACCCTGTCCCAAAAACCAAAACGGAACAGAATCAGAAATACAGGAAGAAGAGAGCATTCAAGAAAAACCGCCATCTGGTATACCAGACGGCTTTGTTTGGTAGTTAGGATAACATGCAAATATTTGGGAGAATGTGGAGACTGAAGTAAAGATAACCCGGTTTTATGTTTTCCTTGGTGGGGGAGTGTTTGATATCCCTGTGGCTACATCTTAGGTAATAAAAGGAGAGGTGAGGAGTTGCGGGGAGGGGGAGGCTATTTCAAATGGAATTCAGAAGCAGCTAAGGAAAGAAATGATAAAATTGTCAGTGTATAAGAAACTGACGAAGGTGTTCAGGAAATAGAAGCTGGTTACACAGGGCAGGCCACAAAAGCCAAAAATATGCTTGGTCCTGTCCTGGCTGGGGGCTGCAGTGTTTGGTGCTCTGCTCTCTGGTCTGGTTCCTAAAGATTTTAGGGTTACTTCTTCAGAAGGGAGAAATGATGGGGACAAGCAGCAGAAACATACCAGATAGCACTGGGACCCCCAAGGTAGCCATTCCTCAACTGTCCTTGCTGGTGGGCAGGGATGCCAGCACAACCCCTCCCCATACTACACCCCGGTTTCTGGCATAAATACTCTCTCTCTCTCTCTCTCTCTATCATCTATCTATCTATCTATCTATCTATCTATCTATCTATCTACCATCTATCTATCTATCTATCTATCTATCTATCTATCTATCTATCTATCTTTTTTCTTATCTCTCTCTCTCTTCCTCTCTCTCTCTCTCTCTTTGAGACAGAGTCTCCCTATGTAGCCCCCCTGGCTGTCCTAGAACTCTAGAACTCAATAGTTAGTCCAGGCTGACCTCGAATTCAGAGATCCTCTTGCCTCTGCCTCACAAATACCAGGATTAAAGGTGTGTGCCACCAGGTCTGGCCTGCATATGTCCTTTCAAAAGGTCCCAGAGAAACAGCTGGAAGGTACGTTATTTCCTGGGACCTCTCCTGCTCTGCAAGAGCTCTATTCTGGTTCCCCTCTCTGCCCCTCCCCACTTCTTCCTAAAATTCCATCTCTTTGGTTCATGAATGTCATTCTCTGAATTTGAGAGATGAGAACCTCATTGGCTCAGGGTAGCCTTGGTTGAGTTTCCCAGGCTCCCAGCTCCCCAAGAAGAGAACAGCCCTGCCAATCTCAGACGCCTCAATATTCCAATACCATGAGACTCGAAAGGTGTTGAAGGACAGGAAATTAATTGGTAAGAACGTGTCAGGGCCTAGAGAGATAGGCTCAATAGTTTAGAACACCCGTGGTGCTGGCAGAGGACATGGGTTCAATTCCCAGCACCCATACGAGGTGGCTCACAGCCTTTATAACTATAGTTCCCAGGCCTCCCAAGGCCACTTGCCATCACATGCACTTATCCACATGCAGACACACACACACACCCACAATTAAGAATAATAAAAATCCTTTAAAAAGAGGAACTTTCAGGGGCTAAATGAGAACTAAAGATGAACTCTGAGGAAGCTAAGCCCTACTTCCAAGCCACTTCCATGTTCCTTTCTCTATCAGATCCCCTCCCATCATGCTCTGCTTCCTCCTGCTTCTTGGTTTTGTTTGTTTGTGACTGGGTCTCTCTGTGTAGTCCTGGCTGCATAAACCGGGCTGGCCTCACACTCACAAGAGATCTTGTCTTGGTCTTCCAAGTGCCAAGTGCCACCATACCACCAGAACAATATTCTGTCTCAAGAGAAGACATTGTAGTGGCCTCTATCTATATTTCCTGGGCCAAAGATTGGGCTGGTGACTGACAGATGACTCAGTAGGGAGAGCCCTTGCCACACAAGCCTGGGCACTTGGGTTTGAAGCCTGCAGTTCAGGGTGAATGTAGACAACCTACTCCCCAAAGTAACCCTCCCCTCTCATGCTCAAACAAAC